GACTAAGAGATCCTAGCCCTCTCTGTGGGACAATCTTTCAAGCTGCATGAGATCGTCTCTCTCTTCAGCCTTCTCTTCTCAAGGCTAAACATGCCTCATTCTTCCAGTCTGACTTCATAATACTTTCCTTCCAGTCCCCTGATGCTCTTGGTTGCCCTCCTCTGAACCTTTTTCTAGTTCGTCTGGTCTTTTGTAAACTGTGTTTCCCAGAACTGGATGCAATGCTTAAGATGAGGCCTAACCAGGGTTGCGTGGAGAGAAACTAGTATGTCATGTGATTTAGAAGTTATACTTCTATTGATGAAGCCAAAAATAGCAATTGCCTTTTTTTTTTGCAGATCACATTGTTGGCTCGTATTCAGCTTGTGATCTACAACAATTCCAAGACCCTTCTCACTTGCGGTATTATTAACCAAGTATAACCCATTGTGGAAGTATGCATTTGGGTTCTTTTTCCTAGGTGTGGAACTTGGCATTTGTCCTCATTCCGTTTCATTCTGCTCTTTTCAGCCCAGCTCTCCAACCTATCAAGATCACTTCTGCCCTTTTCACTACTGACCTTGGCCTAAAGCCTTAAAATTTCAGACAGGCATGAATGACCTACCTAGTTCAGCATTTATATGCTGCTTTTCTAGCTCTAGTGCTAAAAGCACCATATAAAATGATTTAGTTGAAGTGGGAACCCAAGGCTGGCTAGGGAATGCTGGAAGTTGCAGGACTTTTTTCCTACTTAAACATGACTGTGGTTGCACCATTTCTAAAAGCGAGGAATGGGTGCGGCACGGGGGCAGCAAGCACAGTTCTTCCGAAAGCATATTCCAGTTTGGGAGTAATTCAGAGGAAAATCCTTTTATGCGTGCACAAGACATGGGCCTCTACATATCAGGATGTCCTCAAGAGGGTCTTTTCTGCTGAACTTAATAAGCATGGTCCCTTAAATCAAGGAAATCCCTTAAATAAAAATCAATGCATGGCATTTTCTTTCTTTCTTGTCCTACTGCTTTGCTTTGGCAGCTGACCGAAACAAAGAAGTGAAGAGGGAAAACCCTTTCCTAAGCTTTATCTGAATGTCAGGAAAATGTTCAGCTACTTCATTTCTGCATGTTAGGTTGCTGTGCTTAAGGCATGGAAGAAAGGCCAATTAAAAAACTGGCAATTTTAATATCAAGCATTCCATCAGTTCATTTTTTCTTTAGCTTTATTTGACACTTTTGGCTTTCCCTGCTCCTTCTTTTGGCCTTTGCTTTGTATTAAAGTACTACATACCTTGAAGGTTATAGACTTTGAATTAATTCACTTCAGCAACACTTGCCTCTGCAGCAGGCAAGGGGGTTTGCGCTTTGCTGATTGCATCTTTAATTCATCTGCTGAATTATCTAGGCACGTACTATTTTGTAAAAACACCATCACCACCACACAGACATTGTACAGTAAATGCGGGAAGCTGTGAGATGCTCCACTGTTCTGAGAGAGATGCTATTTTGGTTACTGGCCTTTAGATAAACTGCATCAGCACAAACTGGGCCACTGTAATTTCATGTCTGAGATGCTCTGATTGGGATGTATTGAACTATTTATATTTGCTGCATCCCCCCTGTGTTATTTCATTAATCACATAACAAGCCTTCCATTTCTCTACAGAACACGCTAACTCTAATTATCTCTCTACTGCACAGATGTTTCCTCATTTAGATGTTCAGTGCATAGCCATTTGTCACTCTGATTTCACATAGATTTCAGTTTGCATTATATCACTCTAATGTCTTTTCTGTATCTGAGCCCTCTGGGGTTAATATGTCCCCTTGGGATAGCAACTTGACATATGTGGCCTAGATAGGTACTTGCACGAAATGGCTAGTTTTAGCCATAGGAGGGCTGTTTTGAAAAGATCTGATGCTTTGGTTGCAATTCTGTACACAACTGGGCTGATTATATTCCACTGCCTTAAATGAAATCTAAGCCAACTACTGTAGGCAGAATTGTAACCTTTGGCCAACATAAAGTAAATTTTAATTATCCTTGAAATATCAAAATATGTTATTAATTAGACCAATTCCTTTTTGATTAATGGCTTATATGCAACCGTTTCCCCTCAATTAATGAAAACAAGGATCTAGAAACAAGGTCAACCCTTTGCTCTAGCAATGGCAGTAGAAAATACTGAATTAGGCCACTAAATTTTCTAGTGGGCTTTTCAAGTATACATCCACACACATTATCTATCCACCAAAAATTGTGCTTAATACATATTTCCATGTCGCAGAATTTCTGCAAAAGGTCATTTCTGTCCTTTTCCAAATATGAATGGGCATATCCTGAGAAAACAATTGCCTATGTGATTTACATGCAAATCAAATCTAAGCATGTTTACTCGATGTCATTGGGCTGAAAGAGCATATTCCCCTAACTTAATAAGCACAAACACCATTGAATTCAATAGGATTTACTTTTTAGGATCTCTCTGTGAAGGCTGTGAAGCTAAGCCTATTTCTTATGAAATCGCCCTCATGGAATTCAGTAGGACTGATACTCCTAAATGCAGCAGGAGGACAGGTTGCATTCTGCTCAATGGACAGTGCGGCCTGAAGCACGTTCCCTCCAAAGCTCAGAGGGGCTGACTCTCAGGATTGCATACAGGGGATTGCGGCCCAAGATCCTCCAGCTTGATTGCCTTGGCATCCAACTCCAATGGCACCTTTGCACATGACACTGAAGTTCAAGGAGAAGGTAGCTGGGTGATTTGCCTCCTCATTTCCTACTGGGGTGCCTTCAGAAGAGAATTGGAAATGCAAGCGTCTGTGCCACGCTAAAAGAAGTGCTCTGCCACTTTTCCAAACTGGGAGGATGGGGGGGGGGTACCAAGCCCCTGCATCATCGCAACAGTGTGTGGCAGGAGGGGCCTTCTGATTCTGGTGTCAGCAGATGACACTTTTGGTGGCTTTCCCTCATACAGAATCGCTTGCGCTCTGTCTGAGCAGTCTATACTGTGCTCGGACAGCGCTCCCTCTTGCCCCATGCAAAAAGAGATGCCAGGCTCCCAGCAACATTAAGCAGACCGATTCTCTCGTCTGGGGCGCCGCCTCCCTGAACCCAAGCTGTGGCATGGCAGCAGGACTGGACGCTCTTCACCCCCCACTTGAGAGTCCGCCAGCTCCACGCTCTGCTGTGTCCTTGCAGTCACGTTTTGAAACTGTTGCAAGGTTTGGTTGCGGGGGCCCAGCCCTTGTGTCCCACTCAGAGGCGCCCTGGAGAGCCCATTTGGCAGCCAGGTGACTCATGCGTTTATAGATAAGTAATATGAAGATCTGCCTGCCTCTCTGCTCCCGCGCACCACTGAAACAGACTTGCCGGGCTCCCCAGCTGCCCACAAGCCACGCCGTCCAACGAGCCCGCCCCAGCTTGGCGCCTTCCAGACGCGCTGCGTTAGAACTTCCCAGTCCCTCCATGATGGGAGCCACAGCCCAGTGCATCCAGATGCAGGGCACCACGTCGGGAATCGGCAGTGCAAACTGTTAAACAGAAGCGAAGTCTGCCTGAAAGAGTGATATTCTAAATTCAGAATTAATCTGAATTAAACGCAAATGCCGCTTCTTCAGCTCGGTTTGGTTCCTTTCAGATGAAGCATGAGCCCCCTCCCCGCCTTGACTCCAGCGGTACCTGAAAGGGAGGAAGGCGCCTCGAGCATCACCCGCTCCCCCCCCCCCACAAATAACTGGGATGCCTCTCGGAGAGCAAGTACGTCCAACGGGAAATCCTCGGCTAATTTCTTTCTGTTCGCTTCGGTGTTTGCCTTGTTCAACGCCGCTTTTCCGGCACAATACCCAGGCGCTGTAATCTCCTTCGCCTGTTTGGCTGGCAGGCTGATTAGAAATACCGGCATTTTCTTTTTCATGGTGTGACTAATCTCTCCTACAACCCTGCAACCTCCTCCCCATCTTCCCCTCGATCCCTCCCACGCCCCCCCCCCCCCCGACCCGGTCCCCGGAGTTTGAACCACGTGAATCTATTCCCTGCCGAGTCTCCAAAGAGACCTGCAGTGCAAAGTGCGGGCGAACAGGCGGGAGCAGCGGCCGCAGCAAGCCCTCCCCATGCAGCGACTCCGAAAAAGAAAGCGGAGAGCAAGCGAGAAGCCTCAGCTCCCCACCGCCGCGCCGCAGCAGCCCTGAGGGGATCCCTCCCTCCTTCCTCACACGCACACACCGCCAGAAGCGCACGGCAAAGCAGCTCGCCGAGCAGCCGCCCTCGCCGGATCGCGCGGTCCCTCGAGCGCGCCCACCGCCCGGGCGCCGGAGCGCTGCCACAGCCGCCCCTCGCCCTTCTGCGGCGCTGGACGCGGGAAGGGGGCGCCTGCAGGAGTTCAGGAACATTCCTCTCCCACGCCCGGCTCCCAAAATCTCAGCCGTCCCGCTGCCTCGGGGCGGCGAGGCAGGCGATGCTGGCAGAGGAGCGAGAAAGAGGCGGAACGGCCGCGGAAACATTGGCAGCGTCGGCATAAGCGCTGCCAGTCCTGTGCGCGCCGGATTGCGAGCGGAGGCGCGGAGCGAAGCGCGCAGAGTTCGGAGTCCCCGCGGGCGCCTCGGCTCTCCTCCCTCCAGGCACCCGCGGGAGGTCAGTGGCCCTGCGCCGCTCCGCGACCGGGGCCTTTCGCCGCCGAGGCAGCGGCGCGCTCGCCCTCCCGCCGCGCCCCCGCTCCCAAGGTGTGGGGGCCAAGGCGGGCCACCCCCTCCCCTCCCGCTCGCCTGGTGCCGGTCCGGCTGCGCTGCGCCGAGCTCCCCAGCGCCAGGAAGCCGCGCGTCCCCGCTTGCGCCCTGCCGCCCGTTCCATGGCGCGGGAAGCAGCGGCTGAGCCTCCGCGGCGGAGGCGGCGGCGGCGGCGGGGCCGGTGGTAGCGGCGGCGGCAGTCCCAGCAGCCCGCGCTGCCACTGCCACTGCTGCGAGGGCTGCAGCGGCGGCGCGCCGGGCGGCGAGGCGGGCGGCGGGCGCGCCGGCGGGGGCGCCACCATGAGGTCGCTGGTCCTGAGCCGCTTCCTGGTGCTGCTGCCGTGGGTGCTGCTGGTGATCCTCATGCTGGACACGGAGGGAGGCGGCCGGGTGCCCCGTCCGGCGGCCCTGCTCGACCGGAAGCCCCAGGCGCACGAGGGGGCGGCCCGGCGGCCGGGGGCCGAGCCGCCGCCGGGACGGCAGGAGGCCGGGCCGCCGCCGCTGCCCATCATCTATGCCATCACGCCGACCTACAGCCGGCCGGTGCAGAAAGCGGAGCTCACGCGGCTGGCCAACACTTTCCGGCAGGTGGCGCGCCTGCACTGGATCCTGGTGGAGGACTCGGCGGTGGGCACCGAGCTGGTCAGCCGCTTCGCGGCGGGACTCCGCCAGAGCGGCGGCCCGCCGTGCACCCACCTGCACGTGCTCACGCCGCGCAGGTACAAGCGGCAGGGCCAGCCCCGGGCCACGGAGCAGCGCAACGCGGGCCTGGCCTGGATCCGCCAGCGGCACCAACACCTGCCGGCCCCGCAGCCCGGGGTGCTGTTCTTCGCGGACGACGACAACACCTACAGCCTGGAGCTCTTTCAGGAGGTAGGAGCGGGCGCCGGGGCGCGGGCTCCCTTCGCGCACAACTTCTCCGCTCTCCGCCGCCCGCCTGCACGGCAGCGCCCCCCCCCCCGTCCGCCCCAAACGCGGCTCTTTCAACCGCGCAGCGCTGCTCCGAAGCGAGCCCCGCTGAGCCCGAGGGGGCTCACTCCTCCGTAACCAGCAGAGCGCTCGAGCCTTAGGCCTCATGCAAGGTGTGCGTGCTTTACTGAGGAGTAAGCCCCGTTTCGCCCCATTACCTATTGCCCCGGGACAAGCATGCCTAGCGCTGTGGCCTTCAGCGCGTTTCTTACCATGCCTGAATGTCGCTTTCTCCTCAGACTGCTTCGCCCGTTGCCTGCACTTTCCCGATCTGCAGGTGTGCCGACCGGGTCAGCCTCCTCTAGCCTGCGCTCTTGACAGGCTTCTATACCAGAACTAAATCTGCTGGGTGCATAACGCGTTTATTTACTGTAAAGTATATTTAAGGGTGTGTACACACACTTACACACTCACCAAAAAGCAACCATTCACTGTTTGCATGTCACCAGCCATACCTTACATGTGCTGTCTTTGAGCACTCTCTCATCTCCATCTTCAAACTCTTGCCAGGCCACCAGTAACTTCCAGCTAATAGCAGGCCTGCCCTGGTCCCTTCTCATATTCCCTCAAGGATACAGTCTGGTGGATCACTTCCTTCTCTGTGCACGCAGATTTTAATACGAGGAGCCAAAGCTTAGGTGCAAGCCTTCATTCTGAATGGCAATGCTGGTCCATTTGGGAGCATCTTTCAGGTAACAGCAGCAACCTTCCTCTTGTTCAGGATTAGGAGGGAAGGTTTTCAGGCAGGAGAGCATGAATCCCATTTAAGTTTGGGTGGCCATCACTCTGCAGCTGGCTCTGTACGGAACTTTCCTTGACTGAAACCAGAGCGTCAGCATCCTCTTCAGTGCCAAGCCTCAGAACCAGGAGCAGGATCAAGGATCAAGGGCTGCCCCAGGCTGCCTCTTGATCTCGCCGTGTTCCTTTCTGCAGCAACAGCCACCTGCCACTCGTCCCTGCCCCCAGCCGTCCCACTTGTCCCTTTAAAGCTCCTTCCTGCAGGGGACTCTGACAGCACTGGCAACCGGCACCATCATTTCAGTGTTTTTCAGATAAGCAAATTCTGTCATGTTTTACAGCCCCCGAGATGACTTGCGAAAAATCCTTATACCAAAATCACACTAAATATTAAATTCAAGATTAATCAAAGGGGTCCCACACCTTTTAATTGCTACTTCTTTAACGCTTTTCTTTCTTTTTGGGAATTTTAATCACCGGTTATGACTGCTGCACACTTTCCTTTCTAAATTCCTCCAGAATAATCTGTTCTTGTTTTCCCCCATCCCCACTCCTGCTTCTCTGGCTCTAATTGCTCTTTCTTTGGATCCCGCCTCTTTTAGTGTTTAAAAACAAAGGAGAGGAAGTACAAAAATGCATCTGCCCTGTGATGGGAAGGCAGGGAGAGCTTCATTCTGAGCTCTTGGAAAGGGTTGGGAAAGAGCTGGGAAATCAGCCAGAATCTTTTTCCCCCTTTGATTCCCTCCACTGGTTGGAAGAATCATTTCTGGGGGGTGGGGGAACAATATCAAAGTTCGGGAAAAACAGTGACAATCAAGAGTGTGTCTTTGGGAAGGGAGGAAGTGTGGCTAGAGAGAAGTACACAGAGGGTCTGAAGTCATCATGAGCCCAATGGGCAGCACTGTAAGCTGTTCTGTATTTTAGGAGAAATCCCCTGATTCATAGAATTCATCTGTCTTATGGAATGCAAGAAAGAATCTTGTGGCACCTTAAAAGCTAAAAGAATTATTCTAGCCTAAGGTTTCATGAGCGCGGACCACTTCTTTGGGTGCCTTCCAGAAATCAGGTACATCTTATGCAATACCACCTCCTCCCCCTCTGCACAAGAATGGCCCTTCAGCTCCACAGAACTGAACAGAATCAACGGTGCGTGCTTTGCTTTGGGGACCCTCAGTAGGGGTGCAAGAATGCATGTGTGGAACAGGGTCCTCTCCCTTGCTCAGAGAATCGAAAGATTCAAGCCAAGGCACTGCGGAAAGATGCAGAGTGCATCAAGTCCCCGAAGAGTTGTTTCAGAAAGGCTGCTCAGCCCTGCTGATGCGTGTTTAGATTTTGAAATGTGTTTGGGTCTCGTTCAATATGCCGTTGGCAGGTGTTGGTCTGCCTGCCCCCCCCCCCCACTGTTGCCTTGCTTCCTTTCCTGATGCAGATGCCTTTATCCATTGAAGCCCTTATTGAAAGTGGCTGAAAAGAAGGGAGCTGCGTTTCCTTGGTGTGTTGCCCACTAACCCATGGCAGGCTGTGCAGAGTTCTTCAATGCCGAGAAAGTTCGCGCATTCATCTTGTTGTTGCGGTTGCACTTTCCTTTTGAACTGTTGGGGTTTTACTGGGGCAGAGCGGGGAGCTGCCTGAATTGGTGCTGAGGCAGAAAAGTTGTTGAGAGACAAACCCTTTTTCTATTAAAGCCCAAGCTACTCATGGGAACGAAAGTGCTAATTACTTGAAAGGAGAGACTGAACTGCAGCAAGGACCAGTGCAGACTGAGCGTGCCAGCTGAGGTCGCTGTGAAGTAATCTAAAAGAAGATTGGCTTTATCTTTGGTTTCTGAGTCATCTTTCTCTGTCTTTCATTTAACTCACTTTTATTAAAATGTACAAATGAGATCCTCTTTAACATGCTGGTTCGTGGGTTAAGTTGCAAGTTAAAGAGAAAGGCAATTGATTTTGACAGTTCTCTGTTGTTTTGAGTGAGGCATTATACACCCCCACCCCACCCCCACTGAATATATTTAAAAATATCCCTAGGGAGTTTCAGGTGCTAGAAGAGAGATTCATTTTGAAGGCATTCTTCTTCACATGGAAATACACTCAAATGGAGGACGTCATGTGTTTATGTTACAAAGGAGGAGGAGAAAGACCGGGCTGCCCAAGCAGCTAATTTTCAGCTCTCCTTTTTATCACTGCAGGATGGCCCTTCCCTGAGAAGGGACTGGGACAGCATTGTTAGATTCAGGGGGTGTCAGGCACAGAACACCCTTCTCTATCTGGTACTTGCTATAAATGAATGAATAAAGAAGTCTTGTGAAATTCTTGAGAAGGTTGCAAGAATGCTTTTCTTTCCTAGCAAAAGGAAGTGGAGAGACAACTCTCTGATTTTTTTTTTTCCAGGCAGACATTGGCCAGAGTCTGTATTACCTACTAAAAACTTGGAAAGCAGTAATGATTTCTCATTCCACACTCTGCTTGGTCCCCCCCCCCCCCGCTCTCTCCCACTTCCGGATCTGGATCAAAGCTGCACTGCTTTTTCCTCTGTGTGAAAAGAGGCTAGCCTCCAAGTGCATCCCATGTGGTAGGACTCCAGCCATAATTTTTCTTGTGGAACTAGATTCATGGCATGTGAAGGGAAATTGATGCTCAGTGCCTCCCTTCTCCTGGCCTCCCACTAGCATTTCTGGCTCCTGATTGACTGAGTGAAAAGGAGCTTTTGACAAGAACCATTATAGCCGTGAAGGCATTATGGGTATAATAACATGAACAGAACTTTTTTTTTTTAATCCTGTGCCCCATTCCTGCCCTTTCTGGTTAAGCGTCCTTGCTAAAGTTGCAACAGTTTCTGAGATGAATGGATAAGATCACCCTTTTTCCAACCAAACCTAAAACTGTGGTTACTGTTGCTAAAATTAGTGTAAAACTAACTGGATTTTAGTCCTATTTGTTTTGCAAATTTTTGAAGCCAGAACCTTCGTGGAGTTTGAGTATTTTCATCTTTGCATCCAATATTATTTACCACAAAAATCCCAAATTTGTGCCCAGGGGATATCCTACTAAGAGCTGCACTACAAAACATCTGGAGGGTACCAGTGGCTAAACCTTGCATCGCACAACCAGCCTTTCTCCCTCTCTCCTCTTTCCTGCAGCCATCTGTGCTAACCTAACTTCCTTCAGCAGAAAGACACTGGACCCAACCTCAGGTTGAGGAAAGCTGGTTTACGTGATCATAGTAAGTCTCTGATATGCTGCCTGCACATACCACCCTTGGTATCCATCAAACGCCTGATTTTTATTTTATTAATATTTGTTGTAGTAAAAAAAAAAGACTGGAAAACTGGCACGCTGCAAGATGGAGTGATGCCTTCTAGTGCCGTCTTTATTTGGATTCAAAAGGGAGTGGCTTTGAATTTTGGAATTCAGTCCCTACCTCCTCTGCCCTGTACTTACATTTCTGGATAGATTTTCTTTTCTTTGAGTCTCACCAGTTTTGCTAGGAAATTAGCGTTTTGTGACTGGGCATGTCTTTCATGGCAGCCATTGTATAAATGGGAAAGCTCCTGCCATGGCATGGCAGCCATTTTGTGAAAGTGCCCACAACACCCCCACAAAATTCCAAAAGTGCCCACCAGCCCAAAATATATGGAGGGGGACTTACTATAACTTTATTGGTTGGATTAAATATAAGTAGTCATTAGAGCCATTCAGAGAACAAGTCAAATCTATTTCCTCCAATATGGGTTGCTGGTCACATTTTCCCCATAGTATGGTTTCATAACTTGATTTCTTACAACAAGCTTGCACTTTTTCATATAAGCATCATATGTATGGCATTGGTAGACGAATACTCAGTGGTCATTTTCAGCTGTGGAACATGTGATACTGCTGATTGTATGTGCCATATCTGATCACACATGTCAGAGCACACACAGTTCTGTGCACGCGCATGTGAATATGATCTGTCCCCTTGCCCCCCCTCCCCCCATGAAAATGCAAGATCAGTTGGCCTTGCCTCTGCACTATCAGTTTGTTGTACTAATAATCAGTTTCTGAATGGCTGTTCAGTGGTTGCCATGGTGATATTTCATGCCAATATAAGTGCTCTGTCTTGGTCTTTCCATCTGTAAATAGCCTCACATAACTTGAATTTGCCTTTGGAAAACAGGGAAGGCAGATTAG